ACCAAGGTACTCATGTAATGGTACAAGATCCCAATGATGAATGTAACTGTATTTTATACCTAAAATGTACCAATAAACTTAATGGGGAAAAAAAAGATCATAATAGTACATATGTCAGAAAATTGCAAAGATTAAATGAGTTGCTTATAAAATAGCATAATTACTGGCAGATTTATTTCTCTTTACAGTACAAAAGTGGGTTACTGTAATGCTAGGCATCTACGGGAAATTTTTATTATGTGCTGTTTTGTAATAGAGAAAAAAAGAACAGATGTCATTAAAGCCTTTGCCTCTTCTCCCTAGCAGTCCATACACTTTCATTAGAATTCCTTATTCTGCTGCCATTAAAGAGCAACATGAGGGGCCCGGGGATGTAGCTCAGTGGCACTGCGCCTGCCTAGCAAGTGCAAGGTCCTGAGTTCAATCCCCGGCACAGAAAAAAAAAGACACGAAGTATGACCCAAAATCTGGTCAGTGCTCCTGCCAAGTGCCATCTAACAGAAAGGCAGGCTCATAAAAACACTGTGATGTGTTCTTATCCACCTTATCCATTGCATTTGGCTCTGTGCGACTTCCTGCTCTTCTCAAAGTCAAACTGTCCATGAAAGTTCGACATTTTGAATCAGTTCGGGACATCTAGACAGTCCAGCTACCGATGCTTATGAGTGGACAGGAAGGTTGAATGAATGTGTCCAAACTGAAGGGGCGTATTTTGAGAAGGATTAGTGGGAAGTCTTTTACCCTAATAAATATTTTAATTTAAATTTTTTAATTTAATTTATTTTTTGTCACATCTCATACATTTTTTTCTCTCTCCGAAATGGGGGTAAAAATAACACTTACCCTGTAGTCTTATAGTGAGAAGTATCTATTATGAAAATTAAATATATATGTCTAGTACCTGGCAATATGCATTCTAAGTATTGTCTGTTGTTGTTATCATTGCAATTGTTAGAAAGAATAACCTGGAAAAAAGATGTCTCACTGCTTCTTGACATTGGTTTTCTCTGATGCTTTCTTTGCCTGCATTAGTCCATTTAATCAAGATGTTCCAGACACACTTATTTTAATCCCCTACTCAGAACCTTTCCAGGACTTTCATTGTCAAGCAGACAAATTATAATTTCTCAGCCTGGTTTTTGCCAGTGAGGTAGACAGGAAGCTGACCTATCTACTAGGAGCTGTTGTCACATCTTGAGTGTTCTCACATAAAAGAATCACATCATCCTCAGTTTCTTCTTGTGTAAATGGGGCTGTCTTTATCAGAAAGTTGTTGTTGAGACTGGATGAGATGCAGAGCAAGATTCCTTTATTCTGTAGTGTGAAAGTTGATCTTCAGTCAGCCTCCTGCTTGTGTATTCAGGGATATCTATTATGTGCACTCCTCTCTCTGAATTAATGTCTGTCTGTTGAGGAAGCCAAGCTCTTGAAGAACATCAATGCACTGCCCACAGAAAATTTCCATTTATATGTAGATTTGAGATAAATTTAAATCTGAGGTAATGCCAGTATGAGTAAGGGGAATATACAAGAATCTTTTAAAACAACTAAAGAAATGATTATTCATGATTTTAAGTGTGAGATTTGGAGTCATTGAAATACTCTGGCACATAACCATTTAACTTCTTTGGGCCTCACTTTCCTTATCCGCAAGATGGGAAAAATAATGAGTTCATATTAGAGATACTATTGTAAAGATGAAATGAAAGAATTTATATAAAGTACTTATCTCAGTATAAGTTATCATAATTACTTTCATTTTATATTTTTAAAACTTTGAAGTTCTGAGCGGCCCGTCAGATGGGTCTTTGAAAACTTTGTTGAGGACCATTGTGAAAACTGGTGGCAAGTGACATGTCACATTGCTGCCCAAGTACCCTCAGCCCTGTTGTGAGACTGCATGGGAATAAAACTCCATTCAACAAAAACAGGAGAATTAACCAGTTTTCTCACACCGGATTTCAGATTTCATCTGAAATCCTTTGTCATGTATACTGTCATATATTTTTAAAAATTAAGTTATTTGAAAAAAATACTTTAATAAGTAATATCACATTTGCTCATTATGTCATTTACTTCTTAGCAACCCTGTGAGATTGCTTAACAACTCCAAGAGGAAGAGCTAAAGCTTAAACTCTGGCTTTCTGCAAATCCTACTTTCTATTACCTGTTTCAATTTGCACTTGGGCCCCATCTCCCTATTTTTAAAGCCCTTGGATGTTGCTAATAAGAGTCCTCTACTTAAATTAGACTGATTTGAATGAGAAGTCCATGGTGAATTTGTGAGAATTTATCCTTCCTTGCCTTTGCTTATACTGTATCACTTAAGTTGTCCTTCCGCTTTCTGTTAGCTTATCTAAAGCCCACATATACTCAAGACCCAACTTAAATATCACTTTTGTTTATTTTTAAATACTTCTTTGATGTTCTGGCCTACATGATACTTACTGTTAATATCTTCATGTACTTGTTGCTTAACCATGTGTGGCCTGAGAGTAAGCCCCTTTGTGGTGGCTTCCCTGTGGCTGTCTTTTCTACGCATCTCAGGTACACACCACGTGCCGAGACAAGAAACTTAGACACTGTCTCACCTATACTGCATCCAGTCTTGTGTGCGTATGTCACATGAGTAAACATGGGAGGGAAGAATGAAGGGACACTTCCATCCAGTGGGTGCACAGGGAAAAAGACATGGAGATCAGGAGTCTGGAAGAGGGGATGATTTTTACATTATCTCAAAATGGGAACTCTATGAACATGCCACTTCTAGTTTTAGAAAAGCACTTGACAAGCCCATTGTATTTTTTCTTTCTAATCTTTTTCTTGTTTGAAAATGAGAAAATAGAAGTATAACCAGAAAGTTCTTGTGCATATAATCTAAACCTGCAGTGGCTGAAATGCTATTTCAACTTACTGCAAGAATTTTTTTATTGAAGATCACAGCTTACTCAAGAAAAGTGCCACAAAGCAGATACAACCTTCTATGACTTTCAGGGGTCTGTTTAATATTCGTGCAGTTTTACACAGGGAAAGCCTTTAAATACTGATTAGACTTTTTCTTCTTCTGAATTTAGAAAATCTTCTACCTTCAAAATGGTCCTCTGGATAATAACAATAGTTTTTTTAGCTAATCTCACTTCTAATTCTTGTTTACTCTTTTCTAACTGTTTAATTATACAGCTCTTCATCCCTCCGTAAGCATCCTACACATATGGTAGTATTTTAATAGTGCTGAAGAGCAGTATTTTTCAGACCTTTTCTTGCTAAGGACTGTATATACTCTGAAAGAAGAAAGGTGAAAAGTTGACCAATTAGATAAGAAATTGTACCTTTACAACCCTTTTGTCTATTCTTGTATGTTTTCTGCTTTTCTGATACCAGTAAATGATAAGATAGGTATGTACTTACTTATTTTTGTAATATACTAAGTGGAGTTTGGCCATGCAGATGTGTGGCTTATTGTTCCTTTTAGGACTTCTTCTGTTGCAAATTAAAAACAGTGATGACCAAATCCTAACTCCAGGCTTAATCAAAGAGAATGTATGTAGTCAAGTGACTAGCCCACAGTCTGCAAGGGTAGTTGATACTGGGATCAGTAGTGTCATGAAGAGCCAGTTTTTTCCCTCTCTGCACAGCCGTGAACAGTGTCAGCATGACCCTATAGCTGGTCTTCCTGCTGGTTCTATCATGGCTGTCAACCACAGTTAAGGCTACATGCTGCCTCTTAAGCATTGTTGGGAGGACCCTGAGTTTCAGCATTCTGAGCACAAGTCCCAGATCCATCCTAATTACATGAGTCCTGATCACTTGCTTACTCTGCATCCAGGGAGTGTGACCATGGGACTAGAATTGTAGAATTGATTTAAATCATTCAGACCTAATCTTTGGAGCTACTTATGCATTATTACATAACAAATTGCAATAAAATCCAACAAACTTAAAACAAAGGCACTTAGCATCTCACAGTTCCTATGAGTCCAGAATGAGGGGGCAGGTCAGTTGAAGGGTCTGGCTCAGAATCTCTTACACAATTGCTGACAGACTGCCAGCCAGGGGCATTATCCAAAGGTTTGCCTGGGGCTGGACATCACTTCCAACGTGATTTCCTTTTATTGACTGTTGGCAAGAGGCCTTGTTTTCTCTTCATGGAGCTGCTAGAGTGTCCTCGTGACACAGCAGCTGACCTCACACAATGGGTGACACCAGAGAAAGCAAGAAGCAAGCTCTGCTGCCTCTTGGCATACCTGTAGATTGCACACCATCACTTCTGCATAGTACTGTTAGAATCAAATTGAAGGGCCCAGCCCATGCTGTTGGGCTCACTACCTTGAAGGAAATATCCCTTTTCCGGCCTTACTGCTACTACCTTACAGTACATGGAGGAAAGAGGGGTGAGCTGAGAAAGGATGGATGGGAGGCAGTTGTTAGGGATGGCAGAGGAGGGGTGGATATCCTAGTGAAAATTACTGGATTTACAAAGTGGTAAGATGATAGTATTAGGGAAATGATTAGCAAATCCCTACCATACCAATGAATAACTTTTATGAATAAGTGTCAGGTATTATTATTGCTTTTTTTTAGATAAGAGAGTTTTTATTTGTCTAGATAAGAAATTTAAGGTTTAGAGATGTGAAGTGGCATATCCAGTTTTTCAGCTAGGTAGAAAGTACAATAGAAGTCTGCAGAGTCTTCTCTGTCTTACACTTATGACGAATTGCCTGAAGAGAGGTGGTTTCAGGACATGTCCAGTGACTGGCTGAAACAGGAGGCATTAAGTAACAGCCCCAGTGTTGATCATCATTAAAATAATGGGGACACCTTACCTTGATGTCATAGTCATGACCATGTCTGTCTGGGGCTAAGCTCAGCTCTATTTCAGAGAAACTGTGACAGGATTCCTTCTTTTATTTTCCTTTTGGATATTTTTTCTGGCTGAAAACTGTTATGTAAAATATTACAAGCTGTGTCCAGAATGAAAATTCAAAACTCTGTTTTAATTTTATTAAAATAAACATTAAAGAAAGGTAAGAACAATGATTATTGAACATTTGGTTTTGATAAAGTATGGAAAAAAAATAGACCAAGGAGGTGCAGCTCTCCGGCCTTGGCAGGTGTCCAGGGTGTGTTTCTGGGCCCAGAGACATTTTCACTCTGCAGCAAATCCAAACACTCTTCAGTAGAGCAGCAGCTCTTGGTGATCCATCCCAGCAAGAGCAGAGCTTGCACCAGTGATCACATCTTTCTTCTCAGAGAAGTGCGGCAGAAAAGAATGAAGGAGTCAGACTTGGTTATTTCTAAACTCCACACCAGAAAGAGGAAGCGGGGTACTTTGATTGTTTTTGAATGGCTAATTCAGACAGCCAGTTACACAAGACTAAATTTGCAAGTGCCAAATGTTTGAGATGAATTATTGAATACGTTTTGCTATCTGGATATTTTGCTAAAGTTACTAAAGGTGTCAGACATATGGGAGGATGAAGTCATTTGACTGCTTGATGGAGAATTTTTCCTTGGAAAAATCCGAAAGCTTGCCTAAGAAGAGATTTCTAATAGTGGACTTGGAGTTTTAATTGCTTTTCTAGCTCTTGGGTAGAAGGATATGTTTAGAAGTTAGAGATACATACCTCTCCATTTAGATATAACTGATCTGTTCCAAGTCTTCTGAGAACTGTATTCTTGCTGTTCCTTCTCCAGGATCAGGGGGCTTTGGGCATTGCCATCAGTGAAGAAGACACACTCAGTGGAGTTGTCATAAAAAGCTTAACAGAGCACGGGGTGGCAGCCAAGGTGAGGCCCTCCCACTCTCTCTGTCACGAGGTGGTGAAAGAAGGAATTCCTTCTGAAAGTCCCTCAGAATCACCTACCTTTCCATTTAGGATGGACGCCTCAGAGTTGGAGATCAGATCTTAGCTGTGGATGATGAAGTTGTTGTTGGCTATCCTGTTGAAAAGGTACTTTTGCACAATAAAGTGGTCCTGTCACCCCACCCTTGGCCATGGCTTGTGTGTGTGTGTGTGTGTGTGTGTGTGTGTGTGTGTGTGTGTTTGTGTTTGTGTATACATGGAGAGGAAGTCATGGAGAATTAAGGCCGGGTAGCTATACTGGAAGTATTCTTAAGGAAAAGAGAAATTGTTAAGGTCATCAATTCCTGTTTTCCACCTTCCAATAAAGGTGATGTTAAGATGCTCACTATTATCTGGATAAATTTTTTGGTATTCACTGGACATTTTGATAAATGTGGCTTCTATTTTCCCTAATAAAAACTTGAAACTCATAAACAATGGCTCACTTCATATTATGACCAAAGGAATATTTTTCTTATAAATGTTTATTCCCATGCATATCTATGTTATTCCTTGCCTTAAAAAAGACTTTAAGACTTAGCTACTAAATGGATAATTTTTACTAGTTTTGAACAGTTCTTTGTTACTTGAGTTTTTGCCTTAAATATGATCACAGTTCTTGGAGTCATATGTAAGTATCAGAAAAAGGCTTTGTTTTCCCTGAGATGTATTGTTCTTTTTTCTCCAGTAAAGTGAGAGAGAACCATGTGATTGACCATGTTTACATTTCTACATTGGCAACCAGGAAGCTTAAAGCCATTTTTTTTTTAATCCAGTTTTAGTAATTGTATACGTTTGGATCCTTTAATGCATAAAGCTGTTTTCCTTTCCACTTGCTTTGATTTTTCTGTTTATAACTTTCCCATCTTGCTTTTAACACATGCGTGTCTGTGTCTTTGTTGTATTTAAAGTGTTTGTGTATTCTGCTTCACATTCTCTAGAATCAGGAAGTAGGTAAAATACCTTATGTATCTCCTAAGGTTATAGAGAACTGCATTAAAGTAATTGGAAATGTGAAATATTGAAAACCCTCTCCTTACACAAGAAAGAATCTGGTCAGACAGGACTTAGAGTAGAAATTAGCTATGGCTTTAATCTACATTAGGCATTTGGAGTAACTAGAGAAAAACTAAAGCCATTTCTTTCTTGATACTCAAATCCTGACTAGGAAATGACTCACCTCTGTGTCGTTTATTTCAACAATAGATAGAATTAGGTTTGAGTGATAATGGTGACTTGCATCTGTATAAGTCTACTAATTTGTCTTTGAATTTGTTTCCCTTCCTCACCAACACCTGCTCAGTTTATTGATCTGCTGAAGACAGCAAAGAGGACAATAAAACTGACCGTTCAGGCTGAGGCTCCAGATTCCCAGACTTTTCCCGAAGCAGCTGGTGCCGCCAGTGGAGAAAAACCGCACAGTGCGTCTCCCTTGGTCCTGCAGTCTGGCTCCCCGGAACCGGAAGCAGAGTCCCTCCTAAGTAAGGGCTGGGCTCCAGAGAGTCCTGCACTTACAACTCAACAAAGGGTCCCACTGGGGAGCCGGCTGCCTGGTCTCATTACCTGAGAGGCCTTAGTCAGGGAGTGCTTTGGAGAATGGATAGTTCCAGGAGAGGGGTTCCTGATAAACAATCCTGGAGTGTTAGGAGATGGAAGTGCTGCTGTGCATTAGCCCACCATGTTTGGCCTACACTTCTCTCTGAAGTGGGGGAATCTTCTTTGCGCTCCAAGAATCTTGCTGAGGCCTCCTCTGGTCCTAGATATCAAACAAATGAACCAGAAATATTATTTTGTAGATTGGTTTTTTTGAGACAAGGTCTTGTTGTGTAGTTCAGGCTGGCCTTTAACTCACTATGTAGCCCAGGCTGGACTCTTAACTCACAGGGATCCTCCTGCCTCGGCCTCCCGAGTGCTGCGATTACAGGCATGAACCACCACACCCAGCTATAGATTCTTTTTTTTTTTTTAATACTGCCAAACTAAACTTTTCTAAGCCTTGGTTTCCTTATCTGTGGAATTGGTGTACATTACCCCATTTTACGGATAGGATCAGGACTGAAAAGCTCTCATGCCATATGCACTGCAGAGCGGAGTTCTGGGCTGGGGTTCATGAGAAGCTCACTTTGGTGCACGTGAAATCTGGGTCGTGAGATGAGACTTGAGTGCAGCATGCAGCACCGGGCTGGTGCATAATGGCAAATTATTCCTCTAGTTCCATTTCAGAAAAGTACACTAGTGTGTAATAAAATAAATTCAAGGTCTGCAGCATCGATATTTTTGAAAAATGATTCAAACAAATTCACTTTGTCTACAGTTGGTGGGGATCTCTGGTCAAAGTAGGCCTGCATTTAGAAAGAATGGATAATTTGCTGAAGTGTTAAAGGATTTTATGGAAATTTTTGCAATTTCATGTTTGTCCCTAAGTAGCATTGTCTGTAAAAGTACTAAATGCTAAATTAAAACTTAACGTAAAAGAAAATATCGTACACCTGTTCCTGCCATTTCAGGAAAAGAAAATAGTGTGTTTCTGATTTCCTAAAAAGAGAACATCTTGTCTAAAGCATACGCTACTTTACCAAATGCTTTCCTCAAACATGCTATTTGCCTTGTATTCTTTGTTTATGAAACATACGATATGATAGGAATACTTTCATAAAACAAAATGTGGAATAATATTTACTTATTTTTCCATAATATATTTAAGGCTGAGCTGTATGCTCCAGGGTTTGCCCTAAGAGTTTATAAAACAGGAAGTGTGAACAAAAGAAAAAACCCAAGATTTTATTTTCATATATATTCAAAATTGATTACATTTACAAAATGCCCCAGGATAAGATAAAAGCAAAATAAAAACATAAAAAGCTCAGAAGAGCAGGCACCATAAATTAAATGCTGTTTTGTGATCATTTCCTGGGTGTGTCTCCTAAGTTGCTGTCACCTATGGCAGTTCTGAGTGAGACGTGTTTGTCTCTAGTGAAATGTGGTGTCACAGTGAAACTTCACGCTCAGTTCTTTGTTTTCACACCCAGTCCTTCATATCTCTTAACAATTTAAAAAGTACAGAAAATGTAAAAAAAAATAAGGAAACAGGTAATTTTATACCTGCTACCTAAATTAACAATAATGATTTAGTTTTGATGTTTTTTGAAAGGGATAACTAAAAGGCTTGAGGCAAGTTTGAAGTCTCTCTTCCCCGGTTTGAGGCCTCCTTTCCTGCTCCATCACTCCAACTGTGTCATGAACTTTGACACACATACCTTGGAATCAGTTTGTATTTATATTTTATTTCATCTTTATTTTTAGGTACAAGCAGGTCTTCAACACCAGCGATCTTTGCTTCTGATCCTGCAACCTGCCCCATTATCCCTGGTTGTGAAACAACAATTGAGATTTCCAAAGGGCGAACAGGGCTGGGCCTAAGCATTGTCGGGGGGTCTGACACACTGCTGGTGAGTACCCCGCAGAGGTGCTCCCGGCAGCCCTGGAGACTATCAGTTTTATTAAATGAAAAAGAAAAGCTAAGAAAATACATCTGTCATTGCTAGTTGAAAGTATGAGGCACAAATTCAATAAGGGACTAGGGTTATTAGTTTCAGAAAGCCAGTACTGACTCACTACTTTCTCTTACTCTTGTGATTGTGACCTATAGTTTTTGAAGTGTTTCCATCAGTTTATCAATCCTTGACATTTTAATTTCCTGTTTTACTAATATCCAAGCCAGGTTAGACTTGTACTGAGAGGCATCTGAAAAACTGAATTATTTGTAGACAACATTTTCTAAATGTTAAAAATACTGTAAAAATTATTTCATCTCTAGATAGGAATGGTGATACATATCAATGGTGTTAGTATATGTATGATTTATAGTTCATATTTTTTCTTTGAACCTATCTAGGAAAATAAAAGATTTTGTTGCCTTTTAGCAAAAGTTGTATTGTTACATATTTCCTTGAATTATGATATGTGGCCTCCTTATTGTTGTCTGTGAAAGTAGGGTGCATTTGGGCTCAGTATCCTATCGCCATTCCCAGGTGAGAATGGGATAAAGCCTGGATGTATTGTATTTGGGTCCCTAGGGCGCCATTATCATCCATGAAGTTTACGAAGAAGGAGCAGCATGTAAAGACGGAAGACTCTGGGCTGGAGATCAGATTTTAGAAGTAAGGATCCTTGTTTTGGGGGTGGGGTGGGGTTTTTTTTTTTTTTTTGGTACTGAGGATTGAACTCAGGACCTTATGCTTGCGAGGCAGGCAGCGAAACCACTGAGCTAAATCCCTGGCCCAAGAATCCTTGTTTTTGATCTTGAAAAATAACACAGAAAGTGTGCTTGTTTGTTTCTTTCTTTGCCCCCCCCCATCGTGTTTTCACTGAGCTCACTTGTTTGCTCACCACCTGTGTCCCATTTCTGTGCAGGTGAATGGCACTGACTTGAGAAAGGCCACCCATGATGAAGCAATCAATGTCCTGAGACAGACGCCCCAGAGAGTGTGCCTGACACTCTACAGAGATGAGGCTCCGTACAGAGAGGAAGACATGTGTGACACCCTCACTGTTGAGCTGCAGAAGAAGCCAGGAAAAGGCCTAGGATTGAGCATTGTTGGTAAAAGGTGTGCCTGGGGAGAACAAACCCAAGGACCTTTCAGAAGTAACTGCAGGAGTAGAATCTTTGTTAGTGCTCCAGGTTTACAAATGGCTATCCCTGGTCCATTCTCTAAAGGAGCATAGAAGGACATTGGTTTTATAACTTTGAAGTCAGTATGCTGGGGGATTTTGAAGATCCTCAGCAACAAGCCTTTCGGTGTTTCTAGAGTGCCTCGTGTATGCCAGGAAATACATTAGGTTCTGAGAAATAGAGATAAGTAAGAAACAATTCCTGACCTCAGAAATGCAAAGTCTGGTGAACAGAATTAAATATGTTCTTGCAAAAGATGAATCTATTGCTGAGAGGCAGAGGTGCATTGTGGGGTAGCTGTGCCATCGAAGGAGAGAGGGACTGGGTGACCTTATTTAAAGGAAGAGGATTAGGGAGAAGTTCCAAGAAAAGAGGTACTAATGTAAGTAATATTAACAAATATTAAATGCCATAGCTCTTGATTTTAGTGGTATAAGCCATCGAGATCAGAATACACTACAGTTAGATGAAATCAGCATTCAGTGAAATGTGACTCTGTAGTCTTCAGTGTCCCGAAGTTAATATCCATGCTGTCAGGCCTCACATGTTCACAGTTTCAAAGCTGCTTATTTTTTCCAATGAGTCAAAAATTTATGATATTATGACCAGAATACTCTGGAAACAAACACTTCCAAATTCCCAAGCCAGCACAAGCTCACCTGATTTTGCATTTCATTTCTGTATGGTAATAAAAGGACTTCTATACCAGTTTGCTCTTTTAGAGACAATTTGAAGAATACTTTTTAAACACAGAAAGAATATAGCATACTATTTGAGTCTCAGTGGTTTATGTCTAAAAAATTAGACGTGCCTTTTTTGTGGAGCATCGGTAGTTTACTTTTTGGAAAATACAATACACCTGAAATTCATTTGAGAATAGGCTGTCACAATATTGGGGTCCCCAAAGCACTGTAAAAACTTCCAGTAATAGTTCCTAGCAAATCGCCGTGGGAAGAGCATACAAAGACCTCATCTAATCCCACAGCCTTACCCAGATGGGAAAGCGGTGCAGTGGCTTGTCTGGGGTTAGAACCTTGGCAGGAACAAGGGATGCAGCTCCGCTTTCACTGCATTTCTACTTAGTTGCTTTTTCTATTAACACGAAGATTTGGGTATTTTTTGTTTTGGGTGTTTCTGTTTCTTGTGTTTTTAGTTTTGTGAAAGGATTGGAATAAGTTTAATGTTTGCTTATTTAGGATAAATCAATGTTATATAAAAGATAGTTCATATGATTGAAACTGAAAGACATCATAATAATGAATGGTAAGTTTCAAGTAACAAATGGTTTTTGAGATATACATCTGTATATTTTCAATAACATTAATGATGTTAATGGTAATAGAAACATTTAAGTAGCCACAGGTCAATATCCATTTAAGGCCTCTTTATTCTATAGAAGGAAGAACAAATTCAATACCCAAGGATGAATTCTTAAGTCCTGTCTTCACTGTTTACTAGCTACATGGCCCATAAAAGAATAGTGGTACTCACTTTGATTCACAGTACTCTATATCATTGGGAAAATAAATTCTTATGAAAATCTTTTCAATCTATGAAATACTATAAGATATAAGCTATTAATTATTATAAATTGTATTCTAATAATTTTCCTCAGCACTCATAACAATAAACTCAAAAATAGACATAAAACTTTCATTATAAAAAGTTATAAAATAAGCATTGCATTACAATTCAGCAAAAATAATGTTCAAAACCAAAATTGTTTCCAGAAACGATACTGGAGTTTTTGTGTCAGATATTGTTAAAGGCGGAATTGCAGAGGCTGATGGGAGACTGATGCAGGGAGACCAGATTCTCACAGTGAATCGAGAAGACGTCCGTCATGCCACCCAGGAAGCCGTTGCTGCTTTGCTGAAGGTAAAAATCAAATGCCAAAAACAATTTTGTGGCAATTGAAAATGTATTCTTTTAAGATCATGTTACACAGTATATTACCATTGTTATTCTCTAATTATTTTTGTTATGAAAAATTATTCTTTCATAGAACCGTGTTTATATTTTCTTTATTAATGTCTACTTGTACTACATTAAAATAAAAAAAAGAAAATGAGAATAATGTTCTGTAATAGTATGGAAGAAGAAAGAGAATTTAATACTGAGCTACCATGGTTAAATTAGTGACTTATCTTTATCTACAGTGCCATCTCAAGAAAAATGTATTATCATATTTCAGTAACAGATTTCCAAATAGTAAATTTATGATCAGCTATTTCATATGTTGTTATTTATTTATTTAATGGTAGTAGGAATTATTAGCTGAATGTCTGAAACATTAGCAAAGCATTTATCTTTAAGGTGAGTTTTGTGTGGAATCTTTGTTTCTCCATGGTGTTTGTGGATTTATTCTTACAAATTATAGTTTAAAGGGAGACTGTCATCTCGTGCACAGCCGCTCTTTGCAAGGTGATTTGGTAGCAGTGTTCACTGGGTGCAGATCACAAGAAGCAAGAAGGGTACCCATGACATTTCTGGAGATCATGTTTTTGGGCTTCCCTGTCTCAGCCTCTTCCTTAACTCCTTTTTGAACCCACTTGAGTCAATATCTTTCTGAAAAATGATGAATAATGTAACAAAAAATGTGCCAGAATGATTTTGTGTTTTAAGATCTATACAAGAAAGTATTTGGTCAAAATCCTAGTCTGACTCAAACCTACCAAACTGTTTTAAAGTTGATATTTAAAATTAGGGTTGGGTGCGTTATCCTGATGCAATGAAGGTAGTTTATTGCATATTCACTTGACAGTACCCTTACTGGGAATTATTCCAGCCATTATAAGGCCCCATTTCTAGGTATCATTTTAAGCTCAATTACATTCTACCTTGTGAAATAGATTCCCTCTGAGGGGAGCTCTCCATGAGGACCATTTTTTGATTGGAGAGGTGGATCTCATCTTGTTTTGAAAATGGACTGCAGAGTACAGAATAGTCACTTCACAATCTCATTCTTGAGACTCCAGGCATACCCCTTCTAGGGAACATTGTATTCCTAAAGAGGCTTCTCGTTCCTATAAGTAAGGCAGTGATATATCATTGTCTCCTTTTACCTGGCCTGCTTTTCACCTGAAGAAGTACAATCCAGATTGACTAGGTCACTCTCAGTAGCTGTGCCCTGGGTACATGTTGACAGGAGCCTGTACAGCAGCTCCACTGCACCTGTTGGGTCTGATACTAGTGGCAGCTTCTCCGTGGCCAGACCTTGTGGAGCCTATTCTAGCTGAGGTCCTTTTCATCAGTCTCTGTGGTTCAAATAGCATCTGGCATACGAATGTGTATGTAAATTCAGTTTTTAACAAACCACACTTAAAAACTTTTATTTCTTAGAGTTGTCATCAAAACAAAGTAATCAGCACTTTCAAGGATGAATAGCTTCCTTTTGGAGATCAGTTAAAAAACAATTGTTTCTTCGTAAGATTGATATATTTTAAAGAGAAGGAAGTATCCTAAAAGTAATAAATAATTTTTTAAATTAGTTAAACCAGCCATTTTCAAAAATAGCTTGGCAGTATATAATTTGAGCCTTAAATATTTATATAACTTACATATTTTCTTTACTGCTGCTTATTATTGTTTTGACTTAGCAATTCTTCATTTAAAAATCCTCTACATACAAAATTTCATCCACATAAAATTCATTGAAGTGTTATTTGTAAAACAGGAAGATATGAAACAAGGTGGTTAACATAATCTACATCAGCTGTGTTATATAGTTCAGATTTGTGACAGATAATAAACTATTTAAAACATCACTGACAACTATATGAATATGAAAAGGTAATCAATGAAGAAGGCAGTAAGTTTAATGTCAGTACAGCTATGTAAAATAAAATAGATTTTATAACAATCAGGCAGTTTTCTTTATTTTTTATTTTCAAAATTTTCTTTGATTAGAAAGAATTTCTTTTTTAATGGAAAAATTACCTTGAAATGTTTATAAAATCAAAACCCTTTAACTTTGAAAGACCTGTGTTATAGATAAATGAGTTATAACATTTCATAATGAATAATTAATGCATAGACTTATTAGCCTCTCCACTTATGTAAGGTGAAAAATAGTGCAAAAAGAGTTAGTTTGAGGCTTTATGAAAAACCTTCATCAACGAAACAAAAACAAATTATGGATATTTTAAATTATGTTTTGACCTGTCAGAGTTTGATTCATGATCAACATGTTCAGTATGTTCAGCAGAATATCAACGCCTAGTATTTTTGTTAGTATTATTGTACTCTAGACACTGACATATCTATTGTACATGGCTTTACTTATCACAAGAACCTATAATACTCTACATTTTAAAAAGGGAGAATAACGAACATTATCAAAATTAGAATTCCACTGTGGTCACATGGCTAGTAAATCATAGTCTGAATTTAAACCAGTGTGTTTGACCTCAAAAGCCAAGGATCTCAAAAGTTTCCTTATGCTACTTTCAGTATTAGATTACATTTTTTTGCTTGTGTGTTATTTGTAAAGGGCTATAGGGAAATTGTCTTCAATTCTTATTTTGTATTTATAGTAATATTTAAGTATTACATAATAAATCTATTCAACTACCATGTGGCAGTAGAAAGTTTACCAAATTGAGTAACCTTTTTGTTAAAGGCAAAACAAGTTGCAGTGGTGGTGGTGATTTTATTGTTGCTGTTTAACCCTGAGCTATTCAGTTCATTTGATTTTTCTGAATTAGTGCATTCAAAAGATAATTGCTTAATTTTCAATTTCTCTTTTCCTTAGTAGAAACAGTCTCCATACAAATCATAGGTAGACATGTGGAGGAATGTAAACTAGTACAACCATTATGGAAATTAGTATGGAGATTTCTTAATGAATGAAATTAGAAATCCCATACGACCTAGCTTTCCTCCTACTAGGTATCTCCCCCAGAGAGCTTAAGGCATCATACTACAGCAATACTTGCATACCAGTGTCTATAAGAGCACAATTCATAATAGCTAAAACCTGGAAGCAGCCTGTATACCCATCAACAGATGATTGGATAGAGAAAATTACATATATGTGTGTGTGTGTGTGTGTGTGTGTGTGTGTGTGTGTGTGTGTGTGGAGAGAGAGATGAATAGTACTGAGCTATAAAGAATGACAAATTTGACAAATTTGTAGGAAAATGGATACACTTGGAAAATAAAATGTTGAGTGAAACCAGACACACAAACTTAAATACTGTATGTTTCCTCTCATTTGAGTGAAACAAAGTGCAGACAAAATGCTATAGGATGGATAGAGAGGGACAAGGGGATGGATCTCGTGCATTAGGAAAGTGATCTAATGGAACAAGGGCAAGGAATAAGGAAAAGGGGAAGGGAATAAGAATAAAAATATGCCATCTACAGGAACTTAATAACACCAATTAATGTAAACAGTATAGACTATAACATGAGCTAAGACGTAAAATATCAACACAGATGAAGAAGGGAACGGGATTCATTGTGGAGGAGGAGGGAAGGGGAAAGAGATTTTTAAAAAAGAAGAAGCTGTGATATGTACATGTAACCACCCTCAAGATGATTGTAAACTGCACACATTGTAAACATGTACTAATAAAAAATAAATGAAAATTTAAAAGAAGAACATGAAATGGAAAAAAAGACATGGACATGCTGTAGCTGTTTATCTTTATGAGTTTTAAATGTTTTTAAAAGCCATTTTTTTCTTAGCTCATGGAGCTTTCTCCAAAATAGATGATATCTTAGGCCATAAAGCATGTTTAAATAAAAACAAAAGAATTAAAATAATCTCTTAGATTCTGTCAGATCACAGTAGAATGAAACTAGAAATCCACAACCATGACAGCAACGAAAACTACAGAAACAACACAAACACATGAAGGTTAAATAATACATTACTGAATAATCAATGGATTAGAGAAGAAATCAGGGAAGAAATTTAAAAGTTCCTAGAATCATAGCAATGACAGTACAACATTCCAAAATCTATAGGATACAATAAAAGCAGTTCTAAAAAGTGTATAGCTCTTAGTGCCTTCATTAGAAAAATAAGGTATTACCAAATAAATAACTGGATGATACATTTGGAGGCCTTAGGAAAAAAAGCAGTCCAAATCCAAACTTTAGAAGAAAAGAAATCATAAATATCAGAGGAAGAGTCAGTGAAATAGAGACTAAAAAACAATAAAGAAGATCAGTGAGTCAAAGAATTGGGTCTTTGAAAGGAAAAACATGATCAATAAAGCCTAACTTACAAAAGGAAGAGCTAGCTATATCAGTGCAATTAAAAATGAAAAAGGCAAAAATCACAATGGGATCACTGTTATCCAGAGGATTCTAAGTAACTGTTTTTGAAAACTTGTATTCCAATAAATTGGAGAATTTAGAAGAAATAGATAAATTTCTAGACACATATGGCTTAACAAAATTGAACTAAGAAGATGTGAAGACCCTGAATAGACCTATAATAGGCAGTGAAATTGAGGGAGCAGTAAAAATGCTGCTAAGAAAAGCCTGGTATTTGATGGATTCATCACTGAATTTTTCCAGAACTTCAGAGAGGAACTAATGCCAATTCTTCTCCAAGTCTTCTATGAGGTTGAAAGAGAACACTGCCAAAGTCATTGTCTGAAAGCAGCATCACCCTGTTACCAAAACTGGACAAGGACTCAGCAAAAAAGAAAACTACAAACCAGTATTCTTTTTTTTTTTTTAAGGTTAACAAATGTTCACTTTATTTATTTTTAAATTTTATTTGACTGGTACATTTTAGGTATACAATATAATGACATTCATCATTGGAAATATGCACCTTTGTATAATCTCTCTTGGTTCTTATTTTTTCCCCCTTCCCCTAGCCTCCCTTCAACCCCTCCATCCCTCCCTATTTACAAAGACTTTGTTGCCATTTTTTCATTTTCTCATATTAATTCCATTCCCTTCTTTCCTTTCCCCTACCCTCCCACTTCCCCTTCCCCTTTGCCTCTTTTCTTCCTATTTCACATTATCTATTATACCTTTTACTCCTCATTTACACTTTGTTTCTCAACTAGAGAAACTATTCAGTATTTACACGTGTGTCCTATTTATTTCACTTAAGAGTATGGCCTTAATGTACATCCATTTAGCTATAAATGTCTCTAATTTTTCATTTTTTATGGCTGAGTAGTACTCTGTTTTATAAAAAAAAACACCACATTTTCTTTATCCAGTCTCCAGTTAATGGGCATTTGGGCTGTTTCGACGTTTTAGCTATTACGAACTGTGCTGCTGTGAACATAGGTAAACATATATCACTGTGGTATGATTCTTTTAGTTCTTTGGGGAAGATGCCCAGCAGGGGAATAGCTGGGTCAAATGGGACTTCCAGTCCTAGTTCTTTGGGGTATATCCATACTGATTTCCACAGTGGTTGCACCAGTCTACACTCCCACCAACAGTGGAGCAGGGTTCCTCTTTCCCCACAGCCCAGCCAGCATTTGTTATTGGTTGATTTCATGATAGCAGCCATTCTTTCTGGAGTGAGGTGGGATCTCAGTGTTGTTTTCATTTGCATCTCTCAAATGACCAGTGATGTTGAACATTTTTTCATGTTTATTTGCTATTTCTACTTCTTTGTCTGAGAAATGTCTATTCATTTCAGATGCCCATTTTTGGACTGGGTCTTTAAATTTGGGAGGTCTGATTTTTTTTTTAAGTTCTTTATAGATTCTAGGTAGTAGACCTTTGTCTGAGGGACAACAGGTAAAAATTTTTTCCCACATTGTGGGTTGTCTCTTCACACTGTTGGTGGTTTCTCTTGCTGTGCAGAAGCTTTTTAGTAAGAAGAGATCCCACTTGTTGATACGTTTTGCTAGTTCACGGTCAACTGAGGTTTTGTTCATTAATCTTTTCCTACACCAATGTCTTCAAGAGTTCTGCCTAACCTCTGTTCCATCCAGTTCAGTGTTTCTGTTTTAATAATATTCTTAATGAACATAGATGTAAAAATCTTCAGTAAGTTACTTGTAAACAGAAAACAAACCATTAAAAAGTTCACACATCATGACCAAGTTGGCTTCATCCCAGTGATGCAAGGATGGCACAACCTACATAAATCAGTAAGTGTAATATACCATATAAATAGAACTAAGGATAAAAATCATACATTGATTCTATAGATGCAGAAAAAGTCTTTGACAAAATCCAATACAATTCATGATAAAAATCCTGATGGAAATAGGTATAGAAGTGCTTCACTTCAAACTGATAAAACCATTTGTGGCAAACCCACAGACAACATCATACTAAATGGGGAAAACTGAAAGCATTTCCTCTAAAATCAGGAACAAAACAAGGTTGTCCACTCTTAACCACTCCTGTTCAGTATAATTTGCAAAACTTTAGCTGCAACAATCAGGCAAGAGAAAGAAAAGGGATATGAATATGAAAAGTCAAACTATATTTGCAAAGGATATGATCCTTTACATAGAAGTCCCACAGAAAACTCCACCAGAAGCTCTTAAAGCTAATAAATAAATTGAGCCAAGTGGCAAGACAGGAAATCTGTGCACAAAAAACAATAGTGCTCCTGTACAACAAAAGGAACATACTGAGAAAGAAATCACTAAAACAGTCTTGTTCATGGTAGCTCCAAAAGTTTAAGTAGCTGCCAATCAACCTAACCAAGGAGATAGAAGACTTCTATAATGAAAACTGCAGTACTTTAAAGAAAGAGCTGGAAGAGGATGTTAGTAAATAGAAAAACATCCCCTGTTCTGGATAGAGAGAACCAGTACTGTCAAGATGGCCATTACCAAAACTCATATATAGATTTAATAGAATTCCAATCAAAATATGAACAGCATTCTTCATAGGACTAAAAAAAATTACAAAATGTGTATGGAACCAGAAGAGACCCAGAGTAAGGAAAGCAATCTGAGCAACAAGAGTGAAGTAGGAGGCATCACAATCCCAGATTTCAAGTCATATTACAAAGCTACAGTGATTAAAAAATACAGTATGGTAGTGACACAAAAACAGACATGTTGACCAAGACATCTGACCTTTGACAAAGGGGTTAAAACTAAATGGTGGAGAAAAGATAGCCTCTTGTTTATCCAGGTGGGGAAGAATGAATCTAGATCCATATCTCTCCACCCTATACTAAAATCAAGTCAAAACGGATCAGCGACGTAGTTACAAAAACAGAAGCACTGACTCTGGCGGAAAATAAAATAGATGAAACATTTGAAGATAGGAATAGGTAAGGACTTTCTGACCAGAACCCTAATTGCACAAGAAATAACCCCAAGAATCAACAAATCAGAATATTTCAGAACGCTTTTCCATAGCAAAGGAAACAGTCAACAGAGTGAAGAAACAACCTACAAAGTAGGGGGGAATTTTACCAGCTATTCTTCAGATATAGGATTAATATCTACAGTATATAAAGAACTCAAAAAATGAGACCTTAGGGCTGGGGATGTAGCGCAGTGGTTCCACTGCCTGCCTCGAAAGCACAAGGACCTGAGTTAGATCTCCGGTACCAAAAAATAAATAAATAAATAATGAGACCTCATAAAACAAAAGACTCATTCAGAAAATGGACAATTGAAATAAATAGATACTTCTCAAAAAAATTAAAAAAAATAAATTTAAAAAAATGGCTGTCATCAAGTACTTAACAATATAAGTTGATGAGGATGTGGGGAAAACAAAACCCTTTTACATTGTTGGTGGGGTATAAACTAGTACAACCACTATGAAAGTCAATATCGGGATTCCTCAGAAAAGTAGAAATTCATTTGACCCAGCTATACTTCTCCTTAGTATCTTCCTGAAAGAGTCCGAGACATTTTATTACAGTGATACATGCACACTCGTGTTTATAGTAGCATAGTTCACAATTGCTAAGTTGTAGAAATGGCCTAAATGCCCATTAAGAGAATGGATAGAGAAAATGTGGTATATATACACAGTGGAGTGTTACTCAACCATAAAGTCATTCTCTTAAATGAGAAACCCAAAATATCGATAAGGAACAAGATAAAGACTTGATGATAGGAAACAGGTTGAGGTTTTGTAAGTGGGGAATGGGACCTAAAGAAGGGGAAATGAAGAGAAAGGGGAGGTTGGTGGGCGGAAGGAATCAAAAATGATCAAGATATGATGGTATATATGCTAACTCCCAAATATGACTGCAATTCTTATATATCACAAACACATAATCATAAAATTAAATAAAAAGTCATTTTCCATAAAGGATTGAAGGTATCCTTGCCTGTGGAAATCCCAAAAGGAAGATGCTGTGTAAAACTCAGTCCTGAAGAATAAAATGTATTCCTGGAGGTGACTATAGAATTTTACTTAAACAGTTCTATAAAGCAACCACTGCCTCAGTGTTCCCTAGGCACAGTGACCCTGGAAGTGGGAAGAATCAAAGCTGGTCCGTTTCACTCAGAGAGGAGGCCTTCTCAAAGCAGCCAGGTGGGTAGCTCTGGGATCCTTCAGGGCGGCATCACTGTGGATCTGGCCAGTGTCTCTGACCCTGTCTTGTCCTCTGGCAGCATGGCAGAGTGGCTTGAGTACAGAATTTGAGACAGGAAGAACAAGGGATGATAATGGGTGAAGACAAGGCACTTGAGCAGTTAAGCCATTCTAAAGAACTTCTTTCCCCATAACCTCAAACATTAACCTTTATGTATATGAAACCTATCAAGAAGACACATTTTTAAGATCTTTTACAAGAAATGTCGATCATCATTTCTTATTCAGCTGAAAAATCCTGTATAGGTGAACTGTAAATGCTTATCACCATCTACAGAAGTATATTAAAATAGTTCAGGAAATTTACCAAGCCCTTTTCCTCAATCTTTTCCTCTGATGACATCAGCCCATTTTCACCAGTCTGTCCTTATAGAGCATTTACTAACTTCCTTAATTATCAGCAATAATTTCCTGCTAACTGGCCCTAACTTTGCAGTTTTTCAGTCCAAGTTTTTATGCATTAGATGTTTAAATTTAGAAAAGATTAGACTGAGGTTGTGAAAATCCACTAAAAGTTCTGGTAAGTTGCAAACAATTTTTACCCTCTTTGCTTCAATTTATTTATATCATTAGGTAAATTATTCTTAATAAAAAAATTAGTGAAAACTATTTTTGATCGCTCTTCAAATTACCAAATGCCACTATTTCTTATGGTACTTTTCCCCAGATACACTAAAAGAAGTGATTTCTGAAATTAGTAGTGTTTAACAGGGATTACATTTAACAAAAGTTTCTAAAATAATATTTGTTTATAGGTTAGTGAAAGCAGCCTGTCATCTTTCACTCTTCCACTTTCTGAAACATGTGCATCTGAGACACAGGAATGTAGCTCGAAGAGGAACGCATGTAAGACTGGTTCATTACTTTTTAAGTAGAACATACTGGTCTGAAGTTTGACTGTCAACCCTGTTCTGTATCGTTGCTGTTGTTGCTGTTTATCTCTGAGCTCTTCCTCCTCTCCAGATCATCTCATGTCTTAATGTAGATGCAAAAATGTGTGTTGGAAAAAACATGACAAAGCTGCACCAGTGGCAGCTTTTCTCGTTTGATATTTACCCTACAAGACATGTGAAACGTTATCATCAGGGTTCTCTCGTTTTTTTCTTACTGTGCAAATTAGGTATTTGATTGTATTCCCTTCTTCTGTTTAATGTAACACCAATAAATGGAAGATGTCACTAAGTGAAGCCTTCTTTTTCCATGCAGAATTTAGAGAAAATGAATATGATCTTCCTGTGTTTTAATTGCATGAAATAATACAGAGGGGTTTTTTGGCATGGTGCATTGGTTGAGAGTTTTTCATATTCAAGGAACTAACCATATGCCAGTCTCTGTTTATAACGTGACTGATATCTTAGAAATTTAGGCACTTACATCCACAGATTTTTTTTAATGCATCCATGACTTTATGCCTCTAAGCTGTGTACACATCTTTCTGTGCAAAGCACATTCTGTATTTTACTTATTCAAAGTGGATTATAATGATTATATTAGTGCTTAAAATGAGAAGAAAAGATGGGATTTTATGTCCATTTTTTTCAACTGGAGTAATAAAGATTTCTTGTATGAGACAGATTTAGTCATGTCTAGTGCTAGTAACTACCTCCTTTCCAAAAAAATAGTTAAGATAGCCATTTAGCCCTATGCAGCTTAATATATTGGCCTAAAATGTGTGTGAACATAAAAAATGCTTTAATGACTATTTTATCTTATTTTGTCTTTACAGTGGCATCTGAAATACAGGGATTAAGAACAGTTGAAATAAAAAAGGTAACTTGGTATCTTCAAAGGCATATTCATTTGTATTTTCCTGTTAACTATTAACTATTTCACTGCTTTATAGTACCTGTATGAAAACATATACACTATCTTTGTAGTGTATACGGTGGAAAGTAAACTGCAATCTCCTGAATTTTGTAGTCTAATAGTTCCTCATTCTAAAAATCACTGTTTGTATATTTTATATTGCCAAAAGTAGCATCAGCCAGACCCCACAGAAAATAGTTTGCCGCTTCCCCCTTCTCACCCTGATCAGTAACTTTTTCCCTTCAGTGGATGCTTCTCTCTCCTTCTGGAAAGATTTATCTGAAATACACAAGAAAGAAAATAAAAACCGCTACCATTCATTGAGCCTTTACTGCAAGGTGAACACTATTTAGACATACATGTCATCAGAATGCCCCCGTATTCACTATAGCCCTCTGGAAGCACTGGTATCTGTTTCCTAAGTGAAGACCTAGTGACTGAGAAGATGTCTTGTTCCAGGTCGCAGTGTTTGCAGGTCCACATTCCTGGCTTTGAACATGAGTCTCCCTACATCCTTAAATTGTGATCTTTTCACTTCATGAATTCACCAGTCCCACAGCGCAATTTCCATTTAGTGTATCTTGGTCTCTTGCTTTCTGAACAGACATCTATTTTCCTAAACCACAGTAAGGGCCTGTGTCAAACTAAGGTAAGGCCGTTTTCTTGAACTACCTTTTCCACTCTCATAACTAGAATATCAGAGTCAACAATAGAATATTGCACCAGAGAATAAATACCAATTAAAAATCACTTCGACCAAAGAATTCTGTCTGTTCCCTGGCAGGGCCCTGCTGACTCCCTAGGAATCAGCATTGCGGGAGGCGTGGGCAGCCCCCTTGGTGACGTCCCTGTATTTATCGCAATGATGCACCCGAATGGCGTGGCTGCCCAAACCCGGAAACTCAGAGTAAGTTTTGCTAACCGTAGCAGCCCTAAGAAATCTAGCAAAGCATTCTTTCAGAATTTTAATCTAGTCACCTATTGCAAGAGAGTATCTTTTTAAGTTAGCTAACCAGCCTACAGCAGGGCTTGCTTTTACATAAAGAATACTGCAATAAAGAGGAAGATGATGCTGTTTGAATGCAAATTTGAAAGTAAATCAAATGATAAAATTTACGGTTCTCTCTTAAAGCATTTTCATTACATGTTTAAGACTGTGTGGAACAAGTTAAAACAAGCATGTTCAGAATACTAATATGAAGTGAAACTTCTCCTTTACAAGAATCATTGGTTTCAAAGCTGTGTTGATTTAACTTTATTAAATTGAAAAGTCATTGCATTTGATTATAAAATTGCAGAAATTTAATGTAAATATCACTTGCAAGATTCTAAAACTATATAAAATTTTCTTCAAAATTGAGGGATTCTTCAGGTGTAGAACACTATGATGAAATTTATGCTAACTGCTCAACTCTGAAATCATGTGAATGTTCTTTTAAAAGCATTCAGTTTCCCTAAAGTAAAATATCTATGGCATCGTGCTTCAAACAAGGTCTTTGGACATAACCAAACCTAAGTTAAATAGCTTCTAGGTCAGGGGTAGTTGGGGGGGGGGGTGTTTGTGTGTGTGTGTGTGTGTGTTGCTAGGGATCAAACCCAAAGCCTCGTGTATGCTAGGCAAGCACTCTACCACTGAACTTCACTCCCAGCCCCTCAGTCTGTTTTGTTTGGTTGGTTTTGTTTTTCCCCAGTACCAGGGATGGAACTCAGGATCTTGAGCTTGCCAAGCAGGCTCAGTGCCACTGCACTACATCCCTGCCTGCCTCAGCCTGTTTTGATACCTAAATTTATTGCTAACACTTAAAAAATGGTAGTACACATTTCATAAGGGTCAGCAAACTTTCAGATAGTGAATATTTTAGACTCTGTGGTCACATGAGTCTCTGTTGCAACTGCTCTGCTGTGCCCTATGAAAGCAGCCAAATGAGCATAGCTGTCTTCCAGCCAAACTTTATTAACCAAAATAGGCAGTTGGCCACATTTGACCTGTGGGCTTTCATTTGCCAACCCCTGACTTAGAGTCACATCTAACAATTATAGTGATGACATTCAGAGAAATCTTGATTTCCAAATGATACCCATATCTTACTATTTTAATAGGAAGTAATATCTTACCCAGGGGTATGAAGAGAAGGGAACAATGACTTTCTTCCTCTCTTCTCTTCCCCTGAAGACTGTAGAAATTATTATGTACAATTTCTTTTTGTGATTGCTTCTGGAGCTTCTTGAAATTACTGGTTTCCTTCATTATATTTCAGTAGTTGGTGGAAGTGTGTATGTAAAGTAGATGGTAGAGAAAGAAATAACTGTTCTGGTCTCAAAGTCCCACTTTACCTTGCAGGTTGGAGATAGGATTGTCACTATCTGTGGCACATCCACTCAGGGAATGACTCACACTCAAGCAGTGAACATACTGAAAAATGCCTCTGGCTCCATTGAAATGCAGGTGAGGTTTATCATCCCAAGTACTTATCAGAAGGAGATAGCTTGAGGACATGTGAGCTTTGATGTTAAAGCAGGAAAAATGATTAAATGTCATGCTATTATTTTATTTAATATATCATTGGAACATCGATGCTTAAACTGAGAGCTCCAAAAAAATACGCATGAAACACATTCCGTAATATTTATCCTTATAAGTTTACTGTTTATGCTTGATATCCAAGGCCTTTAGCAGTAAGTGATTATTTGCTAGAATTTTAAGTGTTGTGAGTAAAAGGCTTGTATTATAAACATCTTTATAAAAAATAATTGCACAGGAATTCCTCAGAGGACTAATATCTAGAAATATATAAAGAATTCAGAAACCTTAGAGCTCTCCAAAATAAAAGCCCAATGAAAAAATGGCCAAATGAAATGAATAAACACTTCTCAAAAGAATTACAAATGACCATTAAATACATGAAAAAATATTCAACATCTCTGGCCATTAGAGAAATGTAAATTAAAGCAACATTGAGATTACCTCTTACTCCAGAAAGAATGGCTGTCATTGAGAAATCAAATAATAACAAATACTGGAGAGACTGCGGGGAAAACGAACCCTTCTACATTGTTGGTGGGAATGTAAAGTAGCACAAGCAGTATGGAAATCATTATGGATATTCCTCAAAAAACTAAAGCTAGAAATTCCATTTGACTCAGCTATTCTGCTTCCAGTTATCTTCCTGAAAGAATTAAAGACATCATATTACAGTGATACATGTACACCCATGTTTATAGCAGCACCATTCATAATAGCTAAATCTTGGAAGCAACCTATATGTCCATCAGCTGATGAATGGACAAAGAAAATGTGATACTACTCTTCAATAAGATGGATAAACTTCAGTCATTTGTGGGAAAATAGATGCACCTTGGGACCATAATAATATTAAGTGAAATAAATCATACATGCAAGCTTAAGTATCACATGGTTTGTCTTTTATGAGAAACCCAAAATATAAACAAAGAGCAAAATAAAGATAGATAATAGAAAATAGGGAGATGGAGGCAAAAGGGAAAGGGACCAAGGGATGGAGGGAAAGATGATGGAGGGGAGGGAGAGGCAAGAAAAAAGAATTAAAATTTATTGTGTACATGTACCAACTCCCCATGAGAAGTATAATCATTATATACTGCAAACATGTACCAGTAAAAATAAAAATAAAAAAACTGCACAGATCATATTTTAAAAACATCAAAGAACATTAGAGAATTGAATTTGAAGATTTTTACTGTCTGGACAGTTACGAGGCCTCTGGACCTTGTAAAATTTTATATTGCTCTTGTACTTTTTAATTTTTAAGAAACTTTTGTTAGTACATGTTTGCAGTACGTAATGAATGTATTCACTGTGGGGAGTCTTTACATGTACATATGCATCTTAATTCTTTTTACTTCCCTTTGCCCTCCCCTCTCACCCTCCTCCCTGCACATCTCTGGTTGCATTTTGCGTTCATAGGAATAATTAAGTGGGCAGTTAAATACACATTTTAATCCACGTGGTCTTTTTGAAGAAAAATTGCTGGTGTCTCCCTGCCTCCTGCACACGTATTTTCCTTTGTGCTTCTCCTGTGCACAGGTGGCTGCTGGAGGGGACGTGAGTGTGGTCACAGGTCATCAGCAGGAGCCCGCTGGTTCTAGTCTTTCTTTCTCAGGGCTGCCGTCAAGCTCCGTATTTCAGGATGATTTAGGGTGAGAATATATAGTATGCTTGATACGTCATCTATTTTTCATGAATTAGATTTTCCTGACAGTTGTATCTTCTTTTCCATGTTTTTGCCACCTACACACAGGTGAAATAATAGACGATGTGCTTTGTAATACACAACCTAGGTGCTTTTAACTATTGAATGATTAACTATTGAATAATGCAATAGATTTAGCTAATCAAAGATAGACAGACATATGTGCAGATGGACAGATATTCTCTGTTTTTCTGAAAACAAGACCCACCTGGAAAATTCATGTAACGTGATTTTAGAAATCACATCAGGCTCATTTGCAGGGAATGTCTCTTCTAAAATCATGCTAGAATTAGTTTTCCAGGTAAGTCTTATTTTGGAGGAGATAGATAGGCAGGCAGGCTTACCACTACCCCTTCCCACGTTGTAAACTCTGATTTGGGGGACAGCATTTTAGCCATAATATCATCACCCTTTGTGACATGGAGCAAGTCAGACATATCTTTGAAAATTTTCCAGCATTGTCTACTCATTTTATGTATCATCTTTTTGCTTGAAAAATAGTTCACTTTATTAGATAACAACACTGAATAAAAAGAGCACTGAAAAATAGGAAGGAGGAGGGCACATTTAGAATGTGTAAATAATTTGATGCATATTTATATGACTTGTAATTGACTCTTCTCTGAGATTTGAGACTACTGATATTTACCACTTCTCTATTACGGTCCCTTGAATTTAACCTTCTCATTTTAAATAAACCGAAAAAAGAATTAGCTTCTCTGTGCCATGAAAACATGCCATGAGCATGTTAGTTTAAAGCAACTGTAAATGAGTCATAGAATTAGGGCATTAAATAGAATTTCATTAGATTATGTAAATTTCAAATATTGTGCATAGCATGAACTGACAATTTAAGTGTCCTCAACTACCCTCAACATGCTCCCTGTCAATAACACAGAGAACTATGCTAGCTTTTTGTAGATGTCAGAAGAATGATGGAGTCATATGTATATATAAACATACTGAAATATATAAATATATAATGAAAATATAAATGTACTGTTTTAATTTCAGAACTCTTTTTTTCCTTCCTTTTCTGTAGACCTCAATGTAAGTCCATTACACTAGACCGGGGACCAGATGGTTTGGGGTTCAGTATAGTAGGAGGGTACGGCAGCCCTCATGGAGACCTACCCATTTATGTTAAAACAGTGTTTGCAAAGGTAAGACTGCAAATTCTAACCATTCTCTTCCTACTAAATAGTCATTAACCATGATCAGCAGCTGGCATATTAGTTTGTGGCCTGAGGTAATGCCAAATGGTTAACAGTTGATAATTTTTTTTTGTAAACTCCCTACAGGACCAGGTCATTAAATATTTTTTGTCTAATTTGAAATTTAGTTGTATTTAAAGGAAAATAGGCTCAAAATAGAACTCCATAGACACTTTCAATAATATTCATAAATTAATAAACTTCTGTTAGTAAAACGTATTTTTTCTTTTGAAAACAAATTGCATGATTGTCTTTTGAAAATAAATATGCTTTTAAAATAAATATGCTGTAAAGCACTAACATTTCATTTTCTTTGCATTTTGTTGTGAAATGTAAAACTCATACAGAGAAGCGTATAAAATGTATATGCACATTAACTCATAGGGCATTTATTTTAGAAGTTTAATTTAATTGAGTAAAACAAAAACTACCATAGATAAACCTGAAGAGTATCTCACAGCCCTGTTCATCACATCAGCTATTTATAATCAAAGACTTGATACTTTTAAAAAAGAAAAGCATTTGTATATAGTTATATAGTAATGACATTTAGACTAAGAAAGATACTGAAACATTGATGAAACTATTAAAACAAAATGATCTTATGATTGCTATTATGTTGTTAATATACATTTTCAGAAGTACAAGATTAAAATTTCCTGCAGGAGAAAATCTAGAATCTCAAAATTTTACAGTGGAAAGGAGCAAAATTTATGGCAAGTCTGTTTAAAGGTTTGATGCAGAGACTTTACATTAGTGCCATCATCCTTTAATTTTTGAAGGTTTCATTCTATTAATTTGGAAAATACTGCTATTTTTAAGCAATTTTAAGTGCTGTACCTACAGTAAGCTAACTGTAAGGTTAATTTATGACATTTAAAAAATAGTATGTTCAAAAATATAAGTGGCATTTGCCAGTGAATAAAGGATCTTGAAGTCCTGTTCCTCAGCCCAGGAACACTTTATTTAAGGCATGCTAGTTAAAACATATTTTAAGAATTTCATCATTATGGATTCCTCATTAACTTTGCCATATTTTTAATCTTATATTTAATTGCATAATTGCCTTCTATAAGTATGCCTTAAGACAGGGTTCTTTTTGAAACAGCAATGTCTATATTTAATCCTAATCAGTTAGGCATAGTAATATGAAGACTCCATCTACCCTTTGGAAGTAAGAATCAAGGCAGCTTAACTAGCCCTTTCCAAAGCCTAGAATTATCTGTGTGTGTGCGCGCACGTGCGTGTGTTGCAGTTCTGGGTGTAGGATCCAGCACTGCATGCATGCTGGCAAGCATCAGCCCCAGCAGTGGGTTTTTAAATCAGTAGACCTTCACGTGGGCTTTATGCTTCTGCAGACCTTTGGGATTTGTAGACCTCATGCCCTTGGCCTGGGAAACTGCTTTTGTTCCTTTTTAATCTTTAGTCTTATTTACAGGATGTAAAATCCTGGATTCTATGAAATCATTCCTACTAGGCAAATTTCCATATATTCTTGATTAATTTGAGTCTCAACCAACTGCTGTGCTGAACAGCCAAAAAACCATCGAACTAATCTATTGACTGCTAGCTTTTTTCTGAAATTGAAATCTTAGTGCTAAAACTATTTAGGAAAAAGGCCTCTTTTGTATATGTTCGCCATTGCTTATGGCTGTGGAGTACCTATGGAGCACTAGAGCAATGTGTGCGTGTACATGCAGAGCAATTTATGTTCTTGTTTAGACCTTTTGTCTGTGGTATAGTTGTGAGACTGCATTCTTTGAGAAGTAAACAAGCCCTTATAATTACAGGGAGCAGCAGCAGAAGATGGGCGCCTAAAAAGGGGTGATCAGATCATTGCTGTCAACGGACAGAGCCTGGAAGGGGTAACCCACGAAGAAGCTGTTGCTACCCTTAAGCGAACAAAGGGCACTGTCACTTTGATGGTTCTATCCTGAATTGGCAGCCAGCGCTGAACCAACTCAACCCCCTGCTTCCTTTGTGTACTATTAGGAAAATGGGATGATCTTAAACGTGACTTTTCCTGTCCTGTGTTCTTAAAAATCATAGTGGAAAAACAATACTTAAGTTTGTTTTTCTCATATGGGAATGTTTTTCTTACTGACAACCTAATAGCATTTTTCCTCGTCTTTTGCATTTTGTGAAGCTAAACATGCAGAGAAACATTTTACAGATAAATCCAGTTTTTCTTTTGAGGATACATAAGGTTTTGTAGTCACATGAACAAAAATTATTAAAGAGAAAGGAAATCTTGTTAAAGGAGAAAGAAAAGTCATTCTAAATCTAACCATGAAAAATAGTTTCAGTAAATTAGGGCGAAAAATAAAAATGCACAAAAAGGAAAAAAATCTTATGGAGTTTTATAAAAATCCCTCAATTTGGCAGTTTATCTCCTGACCCCACACCAGACTTAAAAAATATTGAAAATCTTAATAAATACTCTCAGTATTTTAATATTTTGAATATTATATAAAATTGCATCTCACTACCTCTAGTATACACACATATTTTTCCTGCTAAAATTGTTTTCTATGATTAAGTAAATAGCACATATACAAAACAGTGTTCTAGGTATTGTAAAATCATACCTAATGCACATTCTCAGTGTTCATTTCTGACCTCTTATAAAATATTTTCATGTTGCTATAGTAAAATGATGATACTACCCCATTTTGACAGTAGTTTTCCTTTAAGCAACCAAGCTAACCATGGGGGAACATACTTTCCAAGAATCTTTTAATGTTGGTTTTCACAATTGGTGCAACACTGAAAATGTCTTAGTGCACTGTGCATTAGGTTTACTATTAATCTTAATGACAAAGGAAAAAGCAATATGTCAGTAATTATTTTGGTTCTATGCCATTAGTAAATTGGTACAGAAATTAAGGGGATTAACATGACTTCAGCTCATTGCTTTATATTAATGTCTTATAATACAATAGTTTAAGACTAAAGGAAACAGATGGAATTGTTTATTGAGACAACTGGTGAGGAATTATCGTGTTCATTCCCATTTTAGGCGTGAAACTCCTACATTAGAATATATAAAATCACTTTAAATATCTATATTTGTAACAGAAGTAGTGTACAGTTTTTTATTGCAGCATTTTTGTGTAAATGCAGAATTAAAGTGAATAAGTAAGATTTGTTGTTGGGTAGCTCCTTTTAGAAATGGCTTGCCAAATAGTTGCCAGGTCCTTCTTGTCTCGAACATAAAATTGAACAAGACAAGCGAAAATGGTGACAAAGTTTATTTGAAAAGTGAAGGTAGAGGGTGAGGAAGAAACTGACTCTGCAGAGTGAACTTGGGCCAAACAAAAGAGCAGAAAAGTTAAAAGCAAAACTAAAAGTACACCCTGGGGGACACAGGGTGGGTTATTGGGAAGAGGCAAGCGAGCTCTTCATGGCGTCTGTGTCCTTTTCTGCAGTCTGTCCGTATCTCAGGAACCTGGAAGAACTTTACTTAGGAGGTCCTAAGAGGTGGTGCTGTGTTGATTCTGGGATCCCACCCTACCTTCCTTCCCAGCCAGTCTAAGCCATGCCCTGTCTCCTATCCCAGGTTCAGTGGTACACAAACAGAAATGAAAGCTTTTTTGTTTTTCTGCTAGGGGAAAAAACTTTATTGTTCAACACTCACTATTTAAAATTTTTTTCTCATGTCTAACTATAAATATACTATCCATGCATGCAATTAGAAAAAAACTGGACATCATTAGGAAAAGTTCAGTGTTTTTTACCTTGACAGTATTTTCTAACACTGAAAGTTCATAGATTCCTTGTAGAGTGGAGGAAGATGACATTATGAGAAGACAGGCAACCTCCCTATGTATATTTTTCTAGGATCCTCTTAATGTAGTGATATCAATAGTTTTTCTTAGGTTAGTAAAGAGCTGAAGTATATTCAGATAGAAACAATCATGATGAAATTTATTCTAATAAACATGAAAAGTCAAATTTGAACACTGAGCCAAGAATTTGGGAACATTTGTCCAACTAGTTCTGTCCCAAATTAACCAATGAGAATATACATTCCCTCTGACTCATCTCAAGTGTCAAATAATAGGTTATTTGATCAGTAAGCTTGTATTCTAAAATGTAAGAAAGTACTTCTTATATAAGAATACAAGAATTCTGTGACTATAGCTTAAAATGAATGGAAAAATGTGTATTGCAACAATTCAGGAGGTATTTAAGCCATCATGTAAATTGAGGTGTTCAGTGTAAGAAAATTCACTTGACTATCCCCGTGACATCCATTTTCTTAGCTGTCACCTCCTGGTCCTCTTATGCTGGAATGTTTTCACAGTAAGCTCCTGGAAACCAAACCAATCACATTTGGAAGTTTGAACAGGTAAAGGTTTTTATACTGGTAGATACTATGTATCAATATTGGATGGGAGAAAGTCAACTGATCACATTTAAGTTTGAGTAAATATGTGGGAGTACCACCAAAGAAAACAGTTTCTTGGGTGTCTGTCCTAGCTTAAATAGTGCCTCCTCAGATCCATGTCCACCTGGTACCTCAGAATGTGACCTTTGGAGATATCTTTGCAGATACAATAAAAGTGGTACTAGCTTAGGGATTTCCTTTTAAGAAGGCTGTATGCAGACGTGGAGACCATATGAAGGCCATGTGATGAGGGAAGCATAAAAAACAAGCTGAGGACTTAGGGCTGCCAGAAACTGTGGAAGCAAGGATTTTTCCTAGACACTTTAGAGGAAGCTTGGCCTTGTTGATGCCCATATTTCAAACTTCTGCCCTCCAGGGCTAGGAGAGAATATATTTCTATTGCTTCATGCCACCAGTTTGTGCTACTTTGTTACAGATGCTGGGAAACTAATCCTAAACTGTATCATGAGTTACTGTCCTTGTCCTGGCTAAGAAGAGATAATTGCTATTTACCAAGTCAAAGCACATGAAAGAAAAGGGAAAGAAAGGAAGAAGGAAAGGAGAGACTTTGAAAGGAAAAAACTATAGATTCATCAGCATTGGAGAGAAGAATGGCTTATGTTTCCTGTATTATTTTCTGGAAATGTAAGAGCTTTCAGTGTAAAGGAAAAAATGCTTGAGCAGAGAGTTTAAATAGACTTTAACATTGACTGGTGTTAATGATATGTACAACCCAAATGGATCAATATAGTTGTTTTTTGTATTGAATCAATCTGGAGCGTATCACAGATACTCCAGAAACTCAATACTCCAGAAAGATAATAATAGCAATAATAAAATGTTTCTTTTTAGCCTGACTGATTCATAGCAACAAAGGTAGAAAGGATGCCTAAAAAGTCAGCAGAATCCGTACATCAGAACAGTGATGGAGTTTACAGAAAAAGATTAAGTATCATGAAGGTGAAGACAAGGAAGGGAGATTTTATTCATCTTAAAAATCTCGACAAAGGAGATCTTGCTGGACATGAGGAAGCAGATGAGTTCTTTCCTGCTCTGAGGCACCGGGTACTGAGTCTTCTTAGGACAGGGCACCCACTTCCTGAATGCCTGCTGGGCAGTGATTGTGCATTCCCCTTCAGATCTCAGAGTGAACAGAGAAGATGAAAGGATTCCTGCAGGGAGACGAGAGTAAATACGCTTTTTTAAAGTGTGGGGGTGTAAAAAATATCACCTTCTTTCAGCAGCCCTGGTGTGTTGTTTCATGTCCATGACACACATTCTGAAATGCATTTGATTTGTGCAAAGATGTTCCTCAACTTTGTCTACTAGGAATGAGTGTTTAATTTTGTCCCCTGCAAAAGTGAGCTGTCCATAAAGCAGAATTGTCTTGTGTTACCTATTGGCACCAAGAGTATTTCTGAATAAAACAGTATGAAAACTAGGGAAAAAGATATTTTTAAAGTGATTTTTATATGTTCTTAAAATGATTTTTGCAGCTTTATTTCTTTCAAAATACAAGTATTCTGTATTGTCCATTTAAATGTAAGCCATAAGAAAAAAATATTTTATTTGTCTAAGCAGTTGTTAAGTACTAAAAGTTCTGTAGTAGGCCCTAAGAAAAATTGTGTGAGAAGAAGGTGAGCCTATGGTAACAATCTCAGAACAGTCCCACTGAAGATCTTTCTTGAAGTTTTTGAGAGTATGACACCATCCAAAGATTGGCTTTATCACAAGCTTCACCTTGTTCTTTTAACGTTGAACATTTTGTGAGAAAATTGCCTTTTGTGAACACATCATGATCTTTTTCCTTCCCCTGCCCTCCTCCACCTGATGTGCATCTGTTCAGAAACAAGAGTTATCCTCAGAAAACACTGTTTTCTAAAAATTACGATTTTTTTAATGAGTCTACCTTGAAATACTGAGCATTCAAGTTTCATTCCTCTAAATTTAACCTAAAATACTTTATTGCATTCCATGAAACTTGCAGATTTACTTTGATCGGGAAATAGCTATATGTAAACTATTAACACCATGTACAGAATAAAATACCAAGAAATTGTTGGAATCATATTTGTATTATCCTAGAAGACAGGGAGTAATATAAATTTAATATTTTCTGTAAATAGTTTTTATTTTTGTGCAATTATGTCTTTTTCCTCCAAAGTTGGATGCAAATCAACTTGTACTAAACTTTCCAAAATTTCTACCTTTTTGGTTACAACCTTCATGTTTCCCATCTTCTTGTAACTGCAGTATTAATTATTAAATATTTTTCTTCAAATATTTTTAACACAGATGATCTTAAATTGTATCTCACTTGTATGGAAAACCAGTATTATTTGCAATGAATACAAAATAACTATGAGAAAAAGCATAAGCTCAAAAATTCTACTAAGATAGTGTTGTCTATCAGTGGTCGTAACTTGAGGCCTGGTCTCTGGTAGAAGGGGATAATTAGAAATGTTAGCATGGTGTCAGCAACTTCATGAGGCTTTCCTGAGCTGAGAAGAACAGAAGTTGTTTACTTTTTCCAGTGTCTGCTGATGCCTTGCCAGGGCCAACAGACGTGATGATCGTGTGATGCGCTCCCTCTCTGGAAAAGTCATTATACCAAAATGAGAGTTGGGTTTGCAGGACTCCTTTTCTTAAAATATGAAAAATTTCCAGTTAATTCTTGTTCTTAAATGTATACTTAACAACAGAAATTGTTTAAGAATTTGCTCATAATATAAGGATTTTACCAATGTCAGAATTATGTTGCTATGTCCAGCGTTTTACTTTTGGCAATTTAAGTTTGAAATAAAGGACAAATGACATAAATTAATGGAGTAAATTAATGTTGTGGTAATATTAAATAAAGCTAATGCCTCTTGCACCTGCAGGGCTGTACAGATGGCAGGCATACCAAATTATGCCCCCTGCTGCCTTTAAGTGTACTGATAAAATCTCTCAACTGAGTATAAAATATGTTTGTTCACTGGCTCCATAAAAGTTTGAGCAAGGCAACCTCAGTACACAAAAAGCCTTGCATTCTTCTTTTTTAAAGGAAAAAATATATAAATCTATAAATTAAATGAAGTAATTAAATATTTTTCTGGGTTTTTAAAATAAATCATATTACGAACATACTCTTTGTTCTTTCTGTAAATATTATATGCCTGTCAGTCTCAGAAAAAGGTTATCCTCAAAGATGTAAGGAAGTGTTTAGTTTTATTTTCACCCACTACACATCTATTTAAAAATTTATTTACTAGGAGAGCCCAAAGGAAGTTGATTTGATTTCACTAAGTATTAAGTGGACTGGTCAATTATTATTCAGGTATTTATGAACTTACTCAATTCTTTAAGAAACAACTTTTCTAGAAAATATATTGCCTTAATTGTGTAAAGAGTATGTTTTACTACAAAATACTGGGCTTTTAAAAATTTACTGAGTTCTCTCCATTTAAGAATAAATTCCTATGAACTTCATTTTGCTGCAGTTGAATACCTATGCAGTTAAATGCATATCCAACCACTTCTTGTGGCTTCAGAGTGACTTTTAAATTCTTTTTATAATACTTGTTGTATATAACTTAATTACCTACATATTTGTTATGTACATTTTTTAAATAAAGGAAAAAGTTTTTGCTTGGGATCTTATATGTCCCACAAAGGTAATGTGTTAGAGGCTTGGTAGCTACCCTGTAGACTGCTATTGGGAGGGTGTAGAACTTTGAGAAGGTGGAGTCTAATGGGGGAAAGTTACATTATTGAGGGCGTGACCTGGAAGGGGATATTGCCCTGGCTTCTCTCTTTCTCTTTCTGGTGATCAGTTTCCTCTGGTACACAGTTCTGCCATGATTTACTCCCTCAACTCAGGCCCAAAAGCAACACAAGCCACAGGACTGTAACCTCTGAAACCTTGAGCCACAATAAATCATTTCTTTTCATAAGCTCATTATCTCCAGTATCTCACATTGATGGAATGCTAACACAAGTGAACTATGATTCCTTTTCAGATATAGTTTCTATCAAAATAGGTCAGCTGTCAGATATATTGAAAAAAGATGTTGGCTCCCTTTTAAGAACAAGTGTTTCATTGTTAAAAAGAATGTAATTTCAACTTTTGCTTAATCTTAAGAGTTAAATAAATTGTACAATTAACATTTGTAATAGCTGTTAATATTTGGATAACGAACCCCACTTATTCACATTTGTAGGTATAGAATTATCTTCAGTAGTTTTTATAAAGCTTTTCCTTTTGGTACTTTACAGGTATTCATTTAATGCAGTTATCAATATTTCATACCCTAGTTTGCCTTTCTTGTGTTTATATATAATGTAAATCCTACCTGATATGTATCTAATACTAAAGAAACTAGTTTTCTCTCAAATGTGTAAAGAGCACAGGCCTCTGGACCCCAAGGCCTTGGTTCATACCTTGGTTTGGCTCCCAACAATATAGCTGAGTTCTCTTGAGTTTCTGCCTCCTTTGCCTGTAGAGTAGGAACAATAATATCTTCCTTACATTGCTGTTCATATTAGGTGAGACCAAGTGTTTGCACATGATAAGCACTGATAAAAGAAATATTGTTACTATTATAAGAGTCAATGTAAATTAAAGTATAGTATGTATAGTGGAATTATGGAAATCATCTGAAATAGAGTGTTATCATTACTATTAATCTGTATCAGCTTTCAAGATAAACTTCAAACTGTCCTAATACCCTTATTCTAGAGATTTTTCATAATTTTTATTACAAAAGAACGCTAAAACAAAAATAGTTTCAGAAGAATTAAGAATTGCAGAGTCCCCTTGGTTGGTGAAATAAACGTACCACTCTAATAATTTAAATAAGAATTATTCTAGATAAGAGTTACTTAAACCTAGTAAGATGTTTTATTAATTGAAGCCCAGTCCTCTAGTAAACTGAATATTTATTTTTAAAGTGAATAGGAAATTTCCCAGTATCCATCATTCATATCCTTCCTCCCTAGTCTTCTGTGTTCAATTAAGTATATTTTATTTTTATCCCTTTTCTAGGTACAATCTATTATAAAGGAGAAAAATAAATGAAATCGGCTTAGTAGACTAAATAGTCTTCTAGATGGAAGTTGGTGAGATCAGACTATCTGCAGAATGCTCTTCTTTCATATTAGATACAGTTTTTCAAATGGGTTTGGTTTTTTTTTCTTTTTTCATTTTTTTTTGTTTTTGTAGATTTTCATGCTCGTGGTTGATGGTAAATGAGCTGGACAAATTAGTGATTAAGTTTTTTTAATCTTTGAGTCAATAGGAACTTTGCTTCTTCGAGAGATTTCTGCCAAGCAGTGATCACATTTGACTCTAAAAGTTTACCAGTTCATGCTGCATGGGAGTTAGGTAAGGGTTGGGAGAACAAAAGCTTCTATTTGGGATACTGCCGCACACATTTTTGGGGGTATGAGAGTGGTGCCCCTCTGAACTGGGAAGCCATCACCAAATAGATGTAAGCCTAATTTCTGAGTTTGCACATTGGCTTGGTTAGGTTATAAAAGTCACAGTCCTCACTTTCTGGTAAAATGACTTACACATATTTGTAAATCATACATTTCCAATATCAAACAGCAGTGAAGACCCAAGAATAACTTTTATACCTAGAATTGAGGTCTCAAGGAATGTATGTGTGTAGCTTCATATGTAGGAGAATCATTTACAGATAGATGTGTTCATGGGAAGCTGCAGTGGAAGGTTGTGGAGTATGAAATTCTTTGTTTTACTATGATACATAGACCAAATTTGGTTTGTGTGATAAACTTCCCATAATTTTGTTATTTAGGGGTCTTATTTATCTTCAACTTTCAAGTGAAAAAAACAGAAAAATTACTGGAAGTACCTTAGCTTTGGATAATACGATTTCTGAGTTCTAGAAAGGATAGAAATTTAAATTGGTGAAGAAGTTAAATGAAAAAACTTTGAATGAGACTGGGAGAAATGTTCCAAATTGAAATAGGAGTCAAAAATATTTTATCTTCCTATAAGGGTTTTAAAAGTCAAAATATATGTATGTTTTAAGAACATTACATAAGTGTTGATCATTGTTATTATGGGTAAAGTCAACTACATGTATGGCTATTTGATTAAAAATTACCAAATTGAGGCCCTGTATATTCTGATACTTTTGTTATGTAACTTTAACAATGAAACGTTTTAATGATGCAATACTTTATCAATTAATTACATATATTTCAATTTACTACAAATTTGAGATGATATATAGTTTTTTTACTTTGCAGAAGTAAAACCAAAACTTGTGAGACTAGTGGTCCTGTGAAATAAAAGTACTTGGACAAATTCTGTAACTACCAGCATTATGGTAGGTAGCAGTTGAAAATCTGTCTGCTGGACCTAAGAGCCAAAATAATTTTTACAACAATAATTTAGGGAGAAAAACATAAATTCCTTATACTGAACTTACATTAATGTGAAGGTTTAAATATTAAGTATCCCCCCGCAAAGATTCAGGTGTTCAGAGCTTGATCACTAATGCAACAATGTTCAGAGACAGGGCCTAAGAGGCCAGTTTATCAAGTGAATTAACCCACTGATGGGATCATAATTTCATGACATAACTGGCAACAGCAGGATGGAAATGGGAGGTGAGTCCTAGTTGGAGAGAACAGATCATGGGAGGAAAACCTTGGGGATGATATCTGGTCCTTGGCCCCTTTCTCTCCTTGCTTCATCACTCCCACCCACCCCCGTGCCCTTCTGCCATGATGTTTCTACTTTGCCACAGGCCTAAGAGCAATGGAGCCAACTAACCATGGACTGTAACTTCTGAAGCTGTGAGCCAAAATAAATCTTTGCTCATGTAAATTGATTTTCTCAGGTACAGTAGTAACTCAGTTCATGAATGCTTTTGTTTGTGAACAATTTGGGTTGCAAACAGAAGCATTTGGCAAAATTTTGTTTTTGTTTGCAAGCTCTGCACTGGGTGGCAAACAAAACTGGCCATCTTTCCCACACAAACACAAACATGGCCATCTTTTCCAGAATCATGGAACAAATTAAGTTCTTGAACACAATGAGAAAAAAGTTGACTAAAACAACTGACTGTTGATAAGAGGGCCAGGACAGAAAGAAGGTCCTTAAGGAGAAATACTTATTGCTTCTGGATTGATAGAGTTTGCTGATCCAGGGAGTTTATTTATAAGTATGATGAACTGGCATCTGTGGTCAGCTGTCTATAGTCTGAGCCACAATTTCAGCATACTTTCAGGAATGTGGGAGAGTCTCACTGGTTGGCCGGTAGCTACTGACTGCCTACAGTTATCAGTCCTCTTTCCTGCCCTTTGGTCTTTGTAATTAAATTTAGGGCATCACAGAATTTTTCTTTTATCACAATTATATTCCATTTTAAAATCATAATAAATTGGTTAAAAAAAAGCCTTCACCCACAGATGGCATAACTTTTCTATCATTTTTTTTTTTTTGGTACCAGGGATCAAACTCAGGACCTTGTGCTTGCAAGGCAGGCGCCGAAACCACTAAGCTAAATCCCTGGCCCACTTTTCCATTATTTTTATCATCATTGTATCTTAGATATACCATTTCATAACATGTTTGCATTATGTTGCCTATGAACTCTGTGATTATACAGCAACAATTGCTCAGAAATTGAGTGGGTTAGTCACGGAGGGAAGGAAAGAGGGAAGAAGAAGAAAAGGTTGGTTTAGAGTAAGGAGGAAGATCATTAGCTTCCAGTCTAATAAGATTTCGTAACTGTGTGTGAAAGTGAAACATTGACTTCCTCAGTCAATGGACAGGGTTAATTCTAATTTTTAGGTGAAAGGCA